AAATGAGAGAATATTTATTTTTGTAAAGTTCAAAATGAACTGATATTATGACTTCAGCAAAATGTTAGTGTGTCTTTACACCTGCTTTGTACATGCAGAGAATGGAGACAATTGAATAAAATTAGGCCAAAATTTTTCTCAAATAATTAGTATCTTCAAAAATTATATTTTGCAGTATAAAACATTGGGGAGAGAAATATTTCTATTTTATCTTGCTTAGTTTTTATAGTTAAATGATTTTAATTCTAAGAATCAGGGAGTATTTATATTTCCTAGAGGAATTTGAAGAACGCAGGATCTATTTTATGTGTATATACACACATAACTCTGACTTCTAAGCAAATACTGCCACTTCCTCATCTTCCTACTACTGACTTTGAAAAAGGAGTTCTGCTTCAGTCTGTTCCTACAGGACCACCAGGCAGGATTTATGCAGACTCCACCCTGGGGCGTCTTCTACCTTTTACTACAAGGGGAAAAAAGTGGAAGGGGTAGGGGCTGCAGCAGAGTCTCTTGAGGTTCTCTGTGGCTAACACTCTTCCAATTAAATTCCCTGAAATCATGCCATTGCCAACGTTCTTTTCATCCACAGTGGTCTGCTATCTAAGTGATTAGGGCTGCAGTAGCAGGCAAAGTTACAAGTATCTTAAAACTGTAATTCATAGTACACTGTAACTGCCTCTTCTTAGCCTGAGCCCCGTCCACTTCCTTATTGCCAGTTACTTCCCTGTGTGGACTCTCTACTCCAATTGACTGCATCAGTGTTACTAATTCCCAGGGTCATGCCTGCCTGAGTATCTTTGCTTTTATTTATTTTTTCTTCTGCTTAAATAAAATCCTCCCTTCCTTCTCTCCCTTCCCAGAACTCTGCTTATTAAACTACTACTCCTTCAAAACTCATATCAATGCCTTATCTCAATAACCTGCGTCATTTTTACTACCCCCCAAACTAATATAATCTTACACTTTTGAATCCCAATTATACTAAATACCTCTTTTAACATAATTATTATATTCTACCTAGAATTATACTCATTTTTTTGCTCAACTTATCCCCCTATTACTTTTCTCCACTGCATTATAAGATCCTTGAGAGCAGCAAGAATTATTTCTAACCCCTCTAGATATCCCTTGAAGCGCAGGTAACCATTGCATATTGCAGTCAGTACATAGGTTTCTAATTAATGTTTTGAAAAGGTTCTTTTTTTTTCAATTGGCCATCTAAATTGTAAGGACTTCAATGCCAGACCCAGTAACACCATAGTTCTGTTAAATGTTTCCTAATCAAGCTTTTTATGATCTTGGTGTGGGGAGGAAAAGTCACTTTTTAATTCCTAAGAGAGAAGTTTCACATAATAGTTGGTATTTTTCTATGGACATGAAAGTTTATTTATATAGCAGGATTTCATCAAAGTATTATAAAGTCTTTCCTTTTGCTGGAATGATAGAAAATCTAAATAGTCACATTAGTATGAAGCATATGTTTTTATGTATGAGGATTTTTTTTTAAATATGCTTATCACTAATTTTGTCACAGATGACATTTTATAATCTCCCCAGTGCTACAGAAATGGGCATATTCCCAGATGTCTGGAATTAGATCTTCCCATAAATAATAAGTAAATTCAGTATTATATCTATCAATTTTTCAACCATAAAATTATTCCCCAAACAACATGACCATGCTGCAGTGACTGATTACTCCAAGCCATGCTTTCCAAACTGCCACATTGTTATTATAATTAAGACCACATTGGGGCTTATCTGTGCAAGTATCTTGACATCAGCCCAAAACTGCTGATGTGGCTTTAATGTGGATTGGGGCAAGAAAATAAATAGTCTTTATGTCTGTAAACTTAACAGTTATCTTGTAGCTCCTGGACACCTTATGCTGATGTTGTAGAAGTTCTTATTTTTTTCAAAGCCAAGCAGTGAATTCCAGTGTCAAAAACAATTCAGAGCTTTAAAATCACAATTTAAATAGCATACGTATACTCAAAGTGAAAATGGGGTAAGTAAAGACACACATTATTTTGTTGGAGAGGGATAATTTCACCATTAATCTGAAGGTATGGTCAAAATGGTTATGTGAAATGTCTGCAATTAGCATGTGTTTTCCTGAGAAATAAGGCTGGACAAATCTGGAGCCTCAGGGAAATGGGTAATAAGAGTGCTCATTTATTTCTCCCCAATCCAATTAGCAGGTTTAGGAGTCGTTCCTCTTCAAATCCTAAACTTACTGCTTCCAGTGATGGAAGATAGGATATGAACTGTGACAGATGTTTTCACCTTCATGAAGCAGGGGACAGCAATGAAATGCTGTTTAATGCAGGTTATTCGTATGTTGATCCCATGTTCAACACTGCATAAGTGATTAGAAATTGCAGTTAAATTCTCACGTAAACTGTCTACTGGTTTATATGCTAAATAGCGGGATGTCCTTACTCACAAATGAAATGATACCTAAAGATCAGCTCAGGGTGTGGGTTTTTTTATGACTTTTACCCAGATCTCAAGCTTTAGAGGACATCTTGCATAATAGGGTCACTAGCTATTGAATCACTTTTTCTTATTTTTTTTTTAACTTCTTTAGACTTGCTTTCCTAATATCTAAAACCCACCTCTTATTATGTTCAACATTTCCTCCATTTACTATTACAAATATGTGTGATGAAGGTTTCTGCCATTCCACGTGAACAACCAGTTATTTTCTGTTCTTAAGATGAAATACAGAGACTACATAAGTTTGACTAGATCAAATTGTTAATAAAGTAAGCAATAAATTCCTCCAATACTCTGCTTTTAATAATATAAAGCTTTTTATTTTCATAGTTGACATTATAGATAGCATAGTGTTAAGAAACTTCCTAAATTCCTGTTACTGTGGCTGCATCATTTAATCTATATGGGCTCGTCCACTTTATAATTTTTAACTTGTACAGCAGCTCTGGATATTAAATGAGGTCCCATCTACAAAGTACTTATAATGGGGCTAGCACATAAAAATGTTCCATATTGACAACTCCACACCATATTCTACTGATTAAAGGACACATCTGTTTTACCCTTCATCATCTCTGTAATTACTACATCTTACAATGGATGGATTTTTTAAAATTTTTATTGGAGTATAGTTGATTTACAGTGTTGGGTTTCAGGTGTACAGCAAAGTGAATCAGTTACACATATACATATATCCATTCTTATTTTTTTATATATTCTTTTCCCATATAGGCCATTAAAGAGTATTGAGTAGAGTTCCCTGTGCTATACAACAGGTTCTTATTATGTATTTTATATATAGTAGTGTGTATATGTCAATCCCAGTCTCCCAATTTGTCCCTCCCTCCCCTACCCCCTGCTAACCATAAGTTGATTTTCTACATCCGTAACTCTATTTCTGTTTTGTAAATAAATTCATTTGTATGCTTTTTATTAGATTCCACATGTAAGCAATATCATATGATATTTGTCTTTCTATGTCTGACTTACTTCACACGAATGATAATCTTTAGGTCCATCCATGTTGCCACAAATGGCATTATTTTGTTCTTTTTTATGGCTGAGTAATATTCCATTGTATATATGTACCACATCTTCTTTATCCACAATGGATGCATTTTAAAATCACTGTGGCCAAGCGTCAGTTATAACACAGTTTTCATTGCTGGTACATGTGAATTTCATTGTTATTCCTGAGAGCAATAGCAACCTCATGATATTTCTGCCAAAAACAAAGAAACAAAAACAGCTAAGGGCCATTTGAGGAAGGAAAATAAACCATTCCTCAGTTGCTTGCTTAAACCTCTCATTCATAGACATCTTCTGGTTTGATTAAAAATGCGACAGCAAGGGCTTCCCTGGTGGCGCAGTGGTTGAAAATCCGCCTGCCGATGCAGGGGACACGGGTTCGTGCTCCGGTCCGGGAAGATCCCACATGCCGCGGAGCGGCTGGGCCCGTGAGCCATGGCCACTGAGCCTGCGCGTCTGGAGCCTGTGCTCCACAACGGGAGAGGCCACAACAGTGAGAGGCCCACGTACCGCAAAAAAAAATAAATAAAAAAAATGCAACAGCATCAGAACTTAGAAATAGGTACCAGTATTCTGGAAGAAAATGCTGGAGACAACAGGGGAACACTCTTGAAGAAATCCTGCATCATGAACACGTTTGATGCCACAGAGATGATAGTGTAGGAGAACACAAACTTTGATGAGTGTGAATCTAAAAGCTACTTGAAATATTTGGATTCTGAATGTAAAGAAGTTTTAGGAATACCGTCCCTTTTAAAGTATGTAAAAGGGTTATATTTTTAAAAATTATGTCAATAAGTCATACAAAGCAATTTCAATAAGCATACAGTAAAAATTAGAGTTGATAAAAAGTATTATAGTTTAATTTGCAGCCATTTCTCTTTCTTTGGGACACATAAAATGATGGTCTATCCCACAGTCAATCACATCTTAGATTTGCAGAAATACGATATTATCATTACTACATGGCTTTTCCAATAATGCTATGGAAAGTCAGAAAGCATCAGTTGATTTTAAAACCCCTGTTTCTAATCACCCTAAATCCTAATTCATTGAAATAATCAGCACTTTGAAACCTGCAATTAAGGCTTTCATTTTGAGGGATAGCATTTGAAAACACACTGTGTTTTCTCCATCCACAGAGTCTCAATGCCCATGTTTCCCCTGGTTAGCAATTACATAGGCTTTATTTGTTCCTCATTTTCATCTTCTCTAGTGAATAATGGCCTCTCTCTTTGAGGTCCTCCTGAGTGCCCCAAACCAAATATCATATATACCACATAGTTTAAATTTTAAGCCAGACCATGCCAAATGAGATAAGTTTACTATGCAATTTGCCTTCCTAGCAGTGCGCTGGTCACATGTGCTAAGTGGCAGGTATCATTGTTATTGTTAATTACAAGGAACAGAGAATGGTAAGGTTCCTGTTGGCACCATATCTAATCTGCTAATGTTGTCCATTTTTATAGGTGGAGCTCAGTGTCCAAATAGCAGTGCTTTGCAAGAGGTGCGCAGCTGTAACGAGCATCCCTGTACTGTGTACCACTGGCAAACTGGTCCCTGGGGCCAGTGCATCGAGGACACCTCAGTTTCATCCTTCAACACAACTACAACTTGGAACGGGGAGGCCTCTTGCTCTGTTGGCATGCAGACAAGAAAAGTCATCTGTGTGCGGGTCAATGTTGGCCAAGTGGGACCCAAAAAGTAAGGGCTTTAGAATGAGAACAGTAAATTCTGTGGCCAACCATGCAGGGATTGGCTTAGGCTTTACTTGCTTCCTGAGAGGAAGCATTTGATTCTTATCATACCTGGCCTCAAGAGTAAGACTTCTTTGTTTTGAATGCAGCCACTGACAAAGTTGTAACAGCTTGAGAGTCTTGTACCTGGGATCCATAAATTCTCTAGAAATCTTTCTGTGTGGTATCTACTTTCAGTGTTACAGTAGCAGTTTCTGCTTTTATTGAGCTAGTGAAGCAATGAAAGAACTGCTTGCTTTTGGCCTGGCTGATCAATAATGACAGTATATGAAGTCCTAGCAGTGGAGGTCATCCATGACCTCCTTTATATCCTTTATATAGGCTATGGAGGCTGCTGATCTAGTTTAATTGGGCAGCAGCCTTCTGTGCTCTGCCTTTCATTTCCCCTAGAAAGTACTATATCAAAAATACTGAGGCCAAACTTACTACATCTTTTAATGGTTAAATGAATAAGCCATTTATTCCCAAGAGAGAGCCTTAGGATAGGATGAGCATTATACTAAGCAGAAAAACCATCAGTTTCTTACTGTAGTTACCAGTAGCGTAACAACAAGGCAAACGATTTGCTAGAGGGGAGGGCAAAGAACTAGAGAGTTGGCGTATTGTATGTGCCTTGTGAGAAATATAAACAAAAACATAGCATAACTGGGCTAATTCTTTCTTAGACAAAGTTAATCAATTATAAAAATATATGCCAAGGACTTCCCTGGTGGCACAGTGCTTAAGAATCCGCCTGCTACTGCCGGGGATACGGGTTCGAGCCCTGGTCCAGGAAGATCCCACATGCCGCGGAGCAACTAAGCCTGTGCGCCGCAACTACTGAGCCTGTGCTCTAGAGCCCGCGAGCCAAAACTACTGAGCCCGCATGCTGCAGCTACTGAAGCCTGCATGCCTAGAGCCCGTGCTCTGCAACAAGAGAAGCCACCACAGTGAGAAGCCCACGCACCCCAGCAAAGAGTAGTCCCCACTCTCCGCAACTAGAGAAAGCCCACATGCAGCAAGGAAGACCCAACACAGCCAAAAATAAATAAATTTATTTTTAAAAAATTATATATATATATATATATATATATGCCAAGAGGAAAAAAGAACTCTTTACCTTTTGAGATTTAGACAGCATAAATCTTTTAAAATTCAAATCATCTTAGCCATGTGAAACATGGAAAGTAAAACCCATCAGTTTGCATTGGTATAAAAATGGCCTCATAATTTCCAAATACTTGTCTAAGTGCTTAGGTATCATGTGTGATCTTAAGCATACTACTTAACAGATTCTGGCTTCAGTTTTCAAAATTTTTTGAAAGGATTTAATGAAAAAGAAATGTAGTAATGTAAGCACTCAATAAAGCTTAGAAATTGTGTTTTCTCTTAAAAATTTGAGATAGTTCTTAGTGTTTTAGGGAAAGGATAATAATGTAATTGACATATGACAAACTCCAGGGGATAAATAAGAATCCCATTATGAGTTGGTTTTTACTAATGGTCAGGGTTCTGGACATTAGCAGTATTTTGTCCCATACTTTATTTGTTTATGTACTTTGAAATTAAGAAATATATTAGAAAATACATGCCAAAAAGACTTGAATACACTGAGAAACAATTCCACATGCTTAATAGGTAGCCCCAAACCAATATTTTAATAGAAATAATGCTAAAGTTGTAATGAATCTAACAAAGGATATTAATGTGCAGTGTATTAAAATTCAATAGCAGTGGGCTTCTCTGGTGGCGCAGTGGTTGAGAGTCCGCCTGCTGATTCAGGGGATGTGGGTTCGTGCCCTGCTCCGGGAAGATCCCGTATGCCGCAGAGCGGCTAGGTCCGTGAGCCGTGGCCGCTGAGCCTGCGCGTCTGGAGCCTGTGCTCCGCAACGGGAGAGGCCACAGCAGTGAGAGGCCCACGTACCGCAAAATAAAAAAAAAAATTCAATAGTAGTAACAGCAGAAGCAGAAGTCCCAAGTGCTGGAGAATTGTGGGTCTTTCTGGGACAAGCAGAGAGGTAGAAATATTCACTGTAGAGGGTCATAACCTGACCAACTTGTCATGGTACAGATTGGAGGGTTGTTGTGCTGAGCTTCTATGGGTAAGCTCACTCTGTTCCTATTTTGCAGTTAATCACTTTTTAGATGTTGCTGTTGATATTTTCCTAACTTATGCAAACTGCAAAATATATTTCTGAGCAGTGGATGTACATATGCACAAGCCTATGTGTGGAAAAGCCTGGTGGATTAATGTTATTAAATCATTCAGTAGAAAGGGTATCCTGAAGCCCCATGTCAGACCACCACAATAATCCATTAAAAATGTGCTTTACCCTTGCAGCCTTTATTCAATGACCTGGATACAAGTATAGATTTGTTAAATCAAATGGGTTTACTTTGCCCTTAAAGTTCTAAAAAATTAAGCAAATACTGTGAATTCAAAAGAAAATGTTACTACCCTTATACCTAAATACTAGGTTAAATTCAATGACTGCTTTTCAGTACTAGGCATTTGAAACAAAAATGCAAATGGACACCTTGTTTTAAACTCCTCTTAATAAAACAGATTACTGTGCAATGGTAAAATCAATGTTATTGATCTCATCTATCCTCCGAGTAACAAACTTCAACTCCTATCACATCTGTTTAATTTGACCTTGAATAAGATTTGGGGGAAAATCAATTCCTTGATTTAAACCACAGACACTAAATACAAACAGTACAAAGGAGAAAAGAAGCATGTTGACTGAACCAATTGCCTCACCAAAGGAAGTCTGAATTCATTTTACTGGATGTAATCTAGGCTGTATAATTTATCTTTGTGTGTTCATTTAATGGCTTTGTTTTCAGTAATTTTGTTCCCCACAGTTAACCAAGTATCTTGCTAAGGAAATTTCTAAACCATATAAAACAGAATTTTGGAGGTTGTCAATGATAACGTAAATTCCGTTGATTTATTGAGGGCTAAAATTTGAAGGGCATGTAATTGAATAATGCTCTCCCACTGTTAAAGTTATAAAACTGCCTCATTGAGGAGCAGTGCTTCCAATAATAATTACTAATCAATAGTTCCATAATATCAAAAGAATTAGGATTATATGTGGGTTTTGCCATGTAATATTTCCTAGTTAAGCATGTAGGTTAAGTTATAATTCTAGTGATTTATAAACTCAATTGTAACAAAATGTTGCCTTCTATGATTCTCATCTAAATTTCTTTGCCGTCCATGACCTTGAGTAGGCATAGCGATTAGGAAAATCGAAGCCTATACACAACAAAAACCAGGGAGATAATTTCTTTTTGAAATGTTGAATCCAATATATTTTTTTTAAATCCACTTTCAAATAAACCCTAGTGTTACAGAATGAGAGGGAAAGGCATGTATCTGTATAGCTGAATAGAACTTAATACTTATGGATGAGATAGGATATGTAGATTAAAAAATTATAGATATATCAAAAATGAAGTGTCAGCAAAGCACTATAAAGAAATTATGAGAAGGAAATGAATGATGTTGATTTTTTTCACTCATAGTTCATTTCTGAAAACCTGATTAACTTACTTGTTGAAAGAGTTTATCTTGACTTAACAAAAAATTTGGCTTCTTTTATGGGGAGTATTTTTAAATCCCATTTTTCACTAATTTGCCAAATTATTCCAGCAACAGTTATACTGATTGTTTGGTTTATTTCTTCACTGCCTCTTAGCTTACTTGTCAGAGATTGATATGACCTCAAAAGAGAATTTCTTAGGAATCAGAACATTAAGTACTTTTAGTTACATGAATTATGTTATTATATTTTGTTGTCATAATATACATCTTCTTCTAGTGTTCCTGACCAACATTTGGCCACTAATGATAGTAGAATGTGAAGATGCAGAGAAGAATTGGAAAACTTGAAAACCATATAATAAGTATACAATAAACAAAACAGTATATTTAAAACTCATATATCAGCTTCCTCAAATTATCTTTTAGGAAGTGAAAACCTCCTCAAAGATAGTGTAAGACATTTCAGTGTTTTGTCATTATTTTTCTCTTGTTTTCCTAATAATATATTTTTGGTGTATTTTTTAAAAATAATTAATTTTACTCTAATTTATGTCAAGAACACAGTGTTTTATTTTACTTTAAATTACTTATTGGCTATTTTTGTTTTATTTATATTCACTCTTTTTGTTCTAAAAATATTGTAATTTATAAAAATATTTAAAATCCAATAATTTAAAACTAGGAATAAAATGGAAGGAAAGATAAGAGTAGAGACAGTGAATGAAACCAGGAATAAAGCAAAAATTGTTTATCTTAATGAGCTATACACTTTTATTATTTTATTACTTATTATGAAATACATAGCTGTAAATACAATATTGGTTTTTGAGCATATACTATGTATAGAATATACTCCATTATAAATTTATTTTGTGCTGAACATATTTTGTAAAATTAAAGTGCAGAATAACCTGGAAGATTATAATTGGCAATAAGCCTATTTAGTTATACAAAGATGTAGCCTTGGGTCCTTAAATTGGTAATTTGAACTTGCATAGATTTCTTATAAAGCATGTTGGAAATTACAGATTTATTAATGGAGAGATTGTTATAAATGGATAAAATAGAATTATTATATTTTCTTCTACATAGCACAATTACTATAACTAAATTTACACTTCCTGCCTTGAGAAGCTTTATTGAGGTTCAGTTTGGAATAATTATTTTGGTTTTATAGCCCTTGTCAAAAGCAGAAAGGATCCTAGGGGTTAAGTTAAATAATACAGATTGATGCCTGTTTAGCAATTTCAGCAATAAAAATTCTAAAGATACTAAATTACCTGGTTTTCTGGATTACTGTAGAGGTCTAGTAGTTTCCCTTTGCTTTTCCCAGGTGTCCTGAAAGCCTTCGACCTGAAACAGTGAAGCCCTGTCTGCTTCCTTGTAGGAAGGACTGTATCGTGACGCCATACAGTGACTGGACATCATGTCCTTCCTCATGTAAAGAAGGTATTATCTGCAGAGTTTTGAAGGAGGTTCACCTAGGAACCCTCTCACTGGGACCTCCAAGTTCCTTTGGTTGAGCAGTGTTTTTATTCTTACATGGGGCTGGCTGTGTAATCCTGGTTTGGCATGAATGCCATAAAATGTTGGCTTCCTTCTAGAAAATAATAACAGCTTTTAGAGTACCAAACAAATGAGTTTTATGCCAAAACTGACTGAAATAACTTTATACTATAGATCAAGGTGAAAGGATTCTAAACTTTATTAATAATGTTTCCTTTAACATGGATTCTAGAAGAATGTATAGTGGCCTTATGTATTTCAAAAAGAATATAGAGTGATCTTCTCAGTACTCATGGCTCTCAACCTACTTAGTGGCAAGAAATAGCCATGGGACCAGATTCAGTACAGTTTCAATTTTATGACCCAAAGGATGGGAATAAAGGAAAGAGAAAAATGATCAAATTGTACCTCTGCCAACACTTAACATGACATGAGGCATTTATAAGACGAGGATTTGTTCCCAGTTTGGTTTGTTTTTGCTTTCATTACTCACAGACAAAGACCCTTTAATATCATGGCAGATACTTTGTTAATTCTTTACCCTCCAGGATAGGGTCCTTTCTCGTTGCTGCTGAGAAAGATGTGAGCATTCTCCAGGTGACTTATGCAGTAAGTGATCACCTTGTCTCTCAGTGTCACAAATGACACTGTCTCCTATTTTTTATTTTACTCTCTCGACAAATAGAGACAGTTTTTCTTCAGTTCCTTTTATGCTTTTATTTATGCTTCTTGACTCTCACTAGAGAGATTCAATTTAAGAATCAACTTCTAGGACTTCCCTGGTGGCGCAGTGGTTAAGAATCCGCCTACCAATGCAGGGGACACGGGGTTGATCCCTGGTCCAAGAAGATCCCACATGCCGCGGAGCAACTAAGCCCGTGTGCCAAAACTACTGAGCCTGTGCTCTAGAGCCCGTGAGCCACAACTACTGAGCCCAAGTGCCACAACTACTGAAGCCCGTGCTCTGCAACAGGAGAAGCCACCACAACGAGAAGCCTGTGCATGGCAACAAAGAGCAGGGCCCGCTCACCGCACTAGAGAAAGCCAGTGCGCAGCAACGAAAACCCAACGCAGCCCCCCAAAATATAAATAAATAAATAAAAATTTTGAAAAAAGAATCAACTTCTAGTTTAACCACTGTTTTAAATCACCAGAATTTTTTTTAAATCCTGAAGATATTACATAAGATTATAAACTTAATAATGGATAGTTTTTACAGTGTGATTATTTTATATAGTTGAAACATGAGTTCCTTTTCATGCTTTTTCTGTTTTAAATACCCTTGAAATAGCAAATAAATTAAACCACATAGTGCACAAGAATAGAAAATGTTGATTTGAAAAGTCTTTTAAGGCATTTTAAAAGCTTTTGGGACAAAAAGAGTTAGCATTAACTCTTTAAAAATGTTAACGGCATTAATCTTATTGATAAAGCAATGTCATTGACAATTTTATCCAGATTTTCTTCTTTTATCCCCTTACTTTCTTAAAAACTAAATAACATATGATATCCTTTAGTTTGGTCATAATCAGCAGTAGGATTGTAGGTTAGTATTTCTCATAGGGTGGTATTTCTGTGATAATTGTTGTCTATTCATTGCTACAATGAAAAAGCTTATTTATTACATGGAATTTATGTGCTTGAAAATTTTATGCTGGATGTTTTATACTTGATGTTTTCTATTGGTATGAGATAGCCCATTTACTAATAATTCCAAAACATAGGCAGTTACATTTATAATGACATGATTAATAATCTCACACAAATTTAACATTTGTAAGTAAAATTTTTGAAAGTAGAAAAAAATTTGCCTTTTCTTTATATTGGGAATTTCCTTATTTTGAGTAAAATATTTCAAAATAACTGTTCTTTTGGTCTAAAGCATTTCAAGAAAAGAAAAGAAAAGAAAAGAATAAATTAGAAAAGGTTTCATTAAATTGATTCTAGGATACACACTCCTCAAAATGAGAAATCAGGTAAAATTGTCTCATTTCATTAGAAATAAGATATTTTGGAATATTGGAATATCCCAAACTAATTTGAAACTAATTTGAGACATTGGAATATGTCCAGGAATTAAGAACCAATTTAGTAGTAGTCTAAGAATTTATCTTACTATGTATTATATATGTCTGGAAAGGGAAGAATAGCAGATGTAACTTACTTATTTAAAAAACCTATCATTGAAAATTAATTTTTTTTTAATTTTGTTTTACTTTTTTATACAACAGGTTCTTATTAGTTATGCATTTTATAAATATTAGTGTATATATGTCAATCCCAATCTCCCAGTTCATCACACCACCACCACCACCGCTACTGTTTTCCCCTCTTGGTGTCCGTACATTTGTTCTCTACATCTGTGTCTCAGTTTCTGCCCTGCAAACTGGTTCATCTGTACCATTTTTTCTAGGTTCCACATATATGCATTAATATATGATATTTGTTTTTCTCTTTCTGACTTACTTCTCTCTGTATGACAGTCTCTAGATTCATCCATGTCTCTACAAATGACCCAATTTCGTTCCTTTTTATGGCCAAGTAATATTCCACTGTATATATGTACCACAACTTCTTTATCCATTCATCTGTCAGTGGGCATTTAGGTTGCTTCCATGACCTAGCTATTGTAAATAGTGCTGCACTGAACATTGGGCTGCATGTGTCTTTTTGAATTATGGTTTTCTCTGGGTATATGCCCAGTAGTGGGATTGCTGGGTCATATGGTAATTCTATTTTTAGTGTTTTAAGGAACCTCCATACTGTTCTCTATAGTGGCTGTACCAATTTATATTCCCACCAAGAGTGCAAGAGGGTTCCCTTTTCTCCACACCCTCTCCAGCATTTGTTATTTGTAGGTTTTCTGATGATGCCCATTATAATTGGTGTGAGGTGATACCTCCTTGTAGTTTTGATTTGCATTTCTCTAATATTAGTGATGTTGAACAGCTTTTCATGAGCTACTTGGCCATCTGTACATCTTTGGAGAAATGTCTATTTAGGTCTTCTGCCCATTTTTGGATTGGGTTGTTTGTTTTTTTAATAATGAGCTGCATGAGCTGTTTATATATTTCAGAGATTAATCCTTTATCTGTTGATTCATTTACAAATATGTTTTCCCATTCTGAGGGTTGTCTTTATGTCTTGTTTGTAGTTTTCTGTTCTTTGCAAAAGCTTTTAAGTTTCAGTAGGTCCCATTTGTTTATTTTTGTTATTTATTTCCATTACTCTAGGAAGTGGAGCAAAAAAGATCTTGCTGTGATTTATGTCACAGAGTGTTCTTCCTATGTTTTCCTCTAAGAGTTTTATAGTGTCCAGGTCTCTAATCCAGTTTGAGTTTATTTTTCTATTTGGTGTTAGGGAGTGTTCTAATTTCATTCTTTTACATGTAGCTGTCCAGTTTTCCCAGCACCACTTATTGAAGTGACTGTCTTTTCTCCATTGTATATCCTTGCCTCCTTTGTCATAGATTAGTTGACCACAGGTGCGGGGGTTTATCTCTGGACTTTCTATCGTGTTCCATTGATGTATATCTCTGTTTTTTGTGCCAGTACCATACTCTCTTGATTACTGTAGCTTTGTAGTATAGTCTGAGGTCAGGGAGTCTGATTCCTCCAGCTCCATTTTTTTCCCTCAAGACTGCTTGGCTATTCGGGGCCTTTTGTGTCTCCATACAAATTTTAAGATCTTTTTGTTCTAGTTATGTAAAAAATGCCATTGGTAATTTGATAGGGATAGCATTGAATCTGTAGATTGCTTTGGGTAGTATACTCATTTTCACAATATTGATTCTTCCAATCCAAGAATATAGTATATCTCTCCATCTGTATCATCTTTAATTTCTTCCATCAGTGTCTTATAGTTTTCTGCATACAGGTCTTTTGTCTCCCTAGGTAGGTTTATTCCTAGGTATTTTATTCTTTTTGTTGCAGTGATAAATGGGAGTGTTTCCTTAATTTCTCTTTCACATTTTTCATCATTAGTGTATAGGAATGCAAGAGATTTCTGTGCATTAATTTTGTATCTTGCAACTTTACTAAGTTCATTGATTAACCCTAGTAGTTTTCTGTTGGCATGTTTAGGATTCTCTATGTATATTATCATGTCATCTGCAAACAGTAACAGTTTTACTTCTTTTCCTATTTGTATTCCTTTTATTTCTTTTTCTTCTCTGATTGCCTTGGCTAGGACTTCCAAACTATGTTGAATAATAGTGGTGAGAGTGGATATCCTTGTCTTTTTCCTGATCTTAGAGGAAATGCTTTCAGTTTTTCACCATTGAGAATGATGTTTGCTGTGGGTTTGTTGTATATGGCCCTTATTATATTGAGGTAGGTTCCCTCTATGCCCACTTTCTGGAGAGTTTTTATGATAAATGGGTGTTGAATTTTGTCAAAAGCTTTTTCTGCATCTACTGAGATGGTCATATGGTTTTTTTT